GGCAGGTACAGTAGTTCCCCTCTGCTCTTCCTCATACAGAGGAAGAAAGGGAGGCCCAACTCGTCCTGTGCGAGAGGACACCCTTTCCCACCCTGGAAAGGCCTTGGGGGGAGGGGTGCGGTTGAGCATCACGGCTTCCCCCAGGCCCTCCCTTCCCCAAAGCCCTCCCTGACGACCCTGGCTTCCTGATCACCTGACCAAACGCTGGCATGGGCTGCGAGCCCAAAATGGGGTGGAGGGTGGCTTCTGCCATCTGAGGACTAGCCAGCCAAGGTAGGCCAGGAGAGGGCCGTCACCAAGGAGGCATCCGTTGGAGGGGGAACCCTTTTAGCCACTGCCTGGTAAGGGGTGGAGTGGTTGGAGGCCCTGTGTTGAGATAGGGAGGACTGGATCCAGGATGTATTTGAAATAAGCAGCTAGATGTTCCCAATGGACCTGGAGTGAGAAAGACTCAACTTAAAATTCAGTTTCAGATGCTAGCTCTGATTTTCAGTTTCCTCATTTGTAAAATAGGGATGATGATAATAGCACCTTTCTCCCAGGGTGGTGCTGAGAATGTGATGAGATAGTATTTGTAAAGCCTTTATAAACTATAAAGGACCGTATAAATGCTACATATTATATTATTGTTATTTCAAGTGAGGTGATGGAGTGAGGCACTTGTGGGATTGGCCCTTCTTTAGAAGACGGGAGTGACTTGAACTAAGGTACATCCCTTGGTGATGAGAACTTAGTTTTCCATAGAACACAGGAGGGTGATGGCCTACGGCTACAGCTTAGGGATTAAGAGGAAGATACCCTGATAGTTGCAGAATGTTAGAACTTGTCATCTTGTCCAAGCCCTTCATTTTTAGATAAATTGGGAAACTTAAGACCCAGAGAGGTGAATAATTACACAGTGTTTTTTAAGATTAATAAAGTGCTTTCTTCACAACAGCCGTTGTAGATAGTAGTACAAATTTTACTATCACAGTTTTGCAGAAGAGGAAACTGAAGTCTGAAGAAATGAAATGATTTTCACAGTCATACAGCAAGGGAGTGTCAAGGCTAGGGTTCAAATGCTGGTCTTCCTCCTCTGAGCCCACAACCTAAGAGAAGGGACCTGGCCAGGGTCACTGAGGCTGGCCTGTTAGTGACAGGCCTGGACTAGGATTGTAAACTTCTGACTCCCAGCTTAGTGATATTTCTACCATGTTCCAGTTTCTGGAAGCTCTTTATTCAGATCATTGATCAAGAAATCATTTTTAGAACCTTTAGAGGACTTAGTAAACTTTTCTTTAGGGCCCCTTTAGGCAGTCTAGAGAAACCTATGGCACCTTTCTCAGAATAATGATTTTTTTAAAAATTCATGATGGAAGAAAAGCTAAATTTTAGCTAAAGGTTAATGAAAATAAAGATATAATTCTTTTCCCATCCAAGTTTACAACCCCCTAAATCAATCTGAGGACTTTAGAGTAAGAACATTTCCTTCATAGGATTCTTGGCTAAGGAATCTTTGGTCTCATCGGTGTGGATACTCGCTGCATTGAGGCAGATCTCAATCTGTCCATGCCTTTTCAGACTATGTCTTTTTTTTTTTTTTTTGGCTAGGCAATGGGGTTAAGTGACTTGCCCAGGGTCACACAGCTAGTAAGTGGTATGTGTCTGAGGCCGGATTTGAACTCAGGTCCTCCTGAATCCAGGGCCCGTGCTCCATCCACTGCGCCACCTAGCTGCCCCCAGGCTATGATTCTTGTCCATGACCTTCCATAAATTCCCCCTAGAGAATCCCACACAACTCAGTACAGGCCTTCAGGGTTTGTTTTTTAAAAAATATTTCATGGGTATCATTGCAACATTCAGGTTTTTCATCTATTATCTTTTATTCTTCCACATGACTTATCTACTGTGTTCTCGTCCTTCAGTGTATTTCCTTACTGATAACTTCCTGGGATTAGGCTTCATTTTACTTATACTGACTATATATGTCATTGCTTTGCCCTTTGGGTCATCCATAATTTTTATCTTTATTTTGGATGTTGTAGTGTTCCTTGATAAGTAGCTACATTGTAGGGAAAATGTTAGCGTTTTTAAAAATGAGTTTTGTGTCAGGTTGCAGTTTGTGATTTTTGAAAGCACCTTTTGAAATTTCCAAAATAAAATCCAACCTACCCACCTCCTTCTGTTCAATTTTGCGTCCAGCTCATCTGTTTTCAGTACCTGTCAGTGATAGACTAATTCAATGGGCTGACTATCCAACAGCTTGTTGGGTTGTGAGCAGTAGGCATTTTTCATGAATTTATTATTACCTGCTAAGCTGATATCTTTTTAATAGCTTTGAGTCTCATTGAGTCCCTGTAGTATTTTAGGATTGTTGCAATTATCAAAATATTATCCACAAGCAGGAGCATCTGGAGGACTTCACCATCGCTAGTGAACCCCTCTTCCATTTGGACTCTGCAAAGGAAAGGGAAAATCCTGAAGGAATATTGAAAAAAGGCCAAGTGAAAGGATGGGATTAAATTTATAATGACCACTGTGGGAAGACTGTGGAATAAGTACAATACAGATGGTCTGGTAAATAAGTCAGGTAGTGTATCTTGTGAATTTTTGTATAGCCCCTTCATTTGAAACCACTTTGATGACATATCTCCACATGTCAGAACAGAAATCTTGTCTGCTTGCCTAAAGTCTGTCTTCCCTCCAATTCACCCTTCACATGGCTAACAAGCTGATTTTTTTAAAGCCCAGTTCTGACCATGTAATTATCTTATTCAATAAACTTCAAAAATGCTCTAATATCTTTGGGGTCAAATACAAACTTCTCTGTTAGTATTTAAAGCCCTTCACAATGTGACTTCAGTCTGCCTTTCCGGCCTTAATGTACATAACTCCTCTACAAACTCTCTAGTCCAGCCAAAAGAGCCTTACACACAGCACACCATCTCCTGTCTCCATCTCCCATGCCTGGAATTTTACTTTGTAATGAAGCCTTTTCTGATCTCAGCTGCTAGTGCCTTACTCCCCACAAATTACCTTTTATTTATTTTATATGTAATTATATAAGTACATATTGTCTCTCACTATATAATGTAATCTCTTTGAGAGCAGCAGCTGTCATTTTTGTCTTTGCATCCCTAGTATCTAGCACAGTGCTTGACACATATAAGCTCTTAATGCTTATCTACTGATTGATTGGTTCAAACATGTTTTCTAGTGATTAGCAGTTTTAACAGAAGAACAATGTCAAATCATCTTTACTTGAATATTTTGAATATAAGAATATTCTTATCTTCTCTTATTGTCTGTGGTCCATAAAGCAATTTTGAAGAAGAAATTGAAGACTTTTTTCCTCCATAAAATTTCCCTCGTTTGGGTTTTCAGTCCCAACCTTTGAAAGACTAAATGAGAATAGGGGAATTACAAACTACAAACATAGACTTCTTAGGACTTTAGTACTAAATGTGCTAATTTTTATATATTAGAAAATAGTTACTTTCCTAAGGTTTTTGAGGAAAAATAGCTGTTTCCGTGGACTTTAATAAACATTGGAGATGTATTTTTCTAACAGCACCAGGGAACATGGTTTTCCTTGTTACATTTTTGAGATTCCTGGCAATGCTATACTTCAAACTATAAATTGGGAGGCTGGAGAGTTATTTTTGAAACCACATTGGAAGAAAAGGACAGGTGGGGTCTGTTTACTACCCATGTAACCTCAAGCAAGTCACTTTACCTTCCCCAGGTCTCAGTTACGCTGTGATCCTCTGTGTCCTTCTGCTACTGAGGAGAAACCTTGTTCCATAAGAACAAAACCAAAACTTAATATCCAACTGCTTCTGTTAATGTTTAGAGAATTAAACTGCTCTAACATCACACTTATAATAGTTTTGGGTGAGAGTTTCCTTTTTGGGGGGTAAACAGGCAATGTAATGTCATCTTTACAGTAATTATCAGTGCCCTTTAGAAGTATGATTAGCTTAATAGTTTGAACTCTTTCAATGCTTTAGCAAGTATAAGGCTTTTTTTGAATCATTACTGCTAAATCCTGGATAGTCGTCATTTACTTAATTTTTCATGTACATTTTCTCAAGTTAAACCTTGCTTGTGTTTGTTGGAGATCACAAAGATGGGAAAATGAGAATTATGATTTTAGTATGAATAAGGTACGGACAACAAGTAAGAAAAAACTTGGCATGATCACAAAAGGGAACTGAGGCTACTAATTTCCTGTTTGACTTAGAGGGATAGGAAATGGGGTGAAGAATCATAGAATTCAGAACCAGAAGATCTAGTCTAACTCCGTATTTTACAAATAATGTAACTGAGGCCCAGAGAGGGGAAGTGACTTCCTCTAAGTGATTCAGTGTTTTGTGGCAGCTAAAGTTCATTTCACTTATCAAAGCAGTTTCCCCATAAAATTACTTCTCCAGTTTTTCATCAGTAAAAAGATCAGTGAAAACATTTACTAGTAGTATTTTAATTAGGAAATTGTGAGAATTGAAAAACAGGAAAGTTAATTACAAAAGTGACATTAATCATGTAAAATTGGAATTTTACAACAACTAACTTGCTGCTTATTGAACTCCCATTTCTTAAAATACTCTGTATGTAAAATAAAGAGAATGAACACTATACATACTATATAACTTTGTTAAAAAGTGTGATAGAACTGAGTATGGAAAGTCAGAAATTCCATTTACACTAAATGATTTCCTCCCTGTGTACATTATGGTGGCAAAATTGGAAATTATATTTCGTCTTAGAGAAGCAGGTCCTAGAAAAGCTAATCTGAAGGTTTTTGTGAATTCCTGTCTTGCTTCTCTAGAGGAGGATGGTAAAGCAACTCTGCTGTAGCAGTGGGATCAATAATTCAGAGATGGACAGTCAAGGGAAAGGAGCTAGAGGAAGTTAGCTTGGCGCTCTTGACATACTTTTACTGTATTTGCAATCATTTGAAGCACTGTGGATTTGAATTGATAAAATGTCTCTCTTATAGGTGAAGCTTGAGAAAATAAAAAATGGAAAAAGATGAGATAAAGAAGACCCAAGGTGGGAAACTCAGTTTGTGTTCTTGAATCAGATTTCATGTTTTTGTTAAATGTGTTTTTTTGTTGTTTTTTTTTTATATATTTTTTTCTTTTAGGCAATTGGGGTTGAGTGACTTGTCCAGGGTCACACAGCTAGTAAGTGTCAAGTGTTTGGTCTGAGGCTGGATTTGAACTCAGGTCCTCCTGACTTCAGGGCCGGTGCTCTATCCACTTCGCCACCTGGCTGCCCCCTAAATGTGTTTTATTTAGCATTATTAGCTTTCTATAGTTAATTCAATCAGCAAACATTTAATAAGCACCTGCAATGGAAAGAATGTTGGATTTGGAATTAGAGGACCTGATTTTAAATCCCTGCTTTCTGCTTTTTGCCTGTGAAACCTAGGAGAAGTTATAACCTCTCTAGGCCTACATTTCTTTATCTGTAAAGTGAAAGAATTGGACCAGATGACCCCTAAGCAGCCCTCTGCCCTATGTTCCCTTCTCCTTCTATACTATTTGGTTCAATGCTTTTCAGCTGTCATGGATTCAGTTATTTGTATGCAGATGATTCCAAATCTCTATATCTAACCCTAGCTTCACTCCTGATCCCTGGCCTCACACCTCCTACTGCCTATAAGACATCAGACTCAGTCTGTCCAATAATGAACTCATCTTCCCTGCTCCCCCTCCTCTGATTCCTCTACTTAGCTCCCCTATGACTATGGAGGATCATGTAACTTTCCTAATACTATCGTCCTCTCAGTCACTCAGCCTTACAACCTTGGTGTCATCCTCAAATCTTTGTTCTCACTGAACCCATCTACATCCAGTCTTGTCAAATCTTGGTAGACCTTCATGACATCCCTTGTATATGTTCCTTTCTCTGTACTCACAAGGCCACCATCCTAATTCAGAGCCTCATCACCACTTGCCTAGACTATTGCAGTAGTCAAATTGGTCTCCTTGCCTTAAGCCTCGTCCCACTTCAATCCATTTTCCACTTAACTACCAAAGTGATTTTCCTAAAGTTTAGGACTGATTATAACCACACCACTGGCCCCACCTCCACCCCCTGAGAGAGAGAAAGAGAGAGAAATCCAGTGATCCCATCTTACTCCCAGGATCAAATAGAAAATATTTTCTTTATCACTTGAATCTCTTCATAACCTGGCCTCTCCTAGCCTTCTAGTTTTCTTATACTTTACTCTCTTCCATGAACTTTGTGATCTAGGCACAATGGCCTTTCTGCTATTCCTATTGCAGGACATTCTAGCTCTCATCTCTGTGTCTTTGTGTTGTGTGTCCCCCATGTTCTCCCTCTTCTTGTCCTACTTTCTCTGGCTTCCTTCAAGTCCCATCCCACCTGCTGCAGGAGGCCTTTCCTGGTCCCCCCAGCTGCTAGCCTTCCCCATCTGCTCTGTATGGATTTTCTGTGTCTCTAGTTCTTTTCATTTTGTCTCCTCCATTAAAATGTGAGCTCCTTGAACCGAAGAATTTATGACCAAACAAGAGATAGAGAACATCATGAAATGCAAAAGGATAATTTTGATTACATTAAGTTGAAAAGTTTTTGCATAAACAAAGCCAATGCAACCAAGATTAGGAGGGAAGCAGAAAACTGAAAATTTTTACAGCCAATGTCTCTGATAAAGGCCTCATTTCTAGAATATGTAGAGAACTAAGTCAAATTTATAAGAATACAAGTCATTCCACAATTGATAAATGGTCAAAGGATATGAACAGGTAGTTTTCAGATGAAGAAATTAAAGCTATCTATAGTCATATGAAAAAATGCTCTCAATCACTATTGATTAGAGAAATTCAAATCAAAACAACTCTCAGGTACCACATCATGCCTATCAAAATGACCAACATGACAAAACAGGAAAATGATAAATGCTGGAGAAGATGTGGGAAAATCGGAACACTAATGCATTGTTGGTGGAGTTGTGAAATGATCCAACCATTTTGGAAAGCAATTTGGAACTATGCCCAAATAAAAATGTGCATACCCTTTGACCCAGCAATACCACTTCTAGGGCTGTATCCCAAAGAGAGCATAAAAACAGGAAATGGACCCACATGTACAAAAATATTTATAGCAGCTCTTTCTGTGGTGACAAAGAATTGGAAATTGAGGGGATGCCTGTCCATTAGGGAATGGCTGAACAAGTTGTGGTATATGAATGTAATGGTATATTATTGTGCTATAAGAATATGATGAGCAGGCAGATTTCAGAAAAACCTGGAAAGACTTGTATGGACCGGTGCTGAGTGAAATGAGCAGAACCAGGAGAACATTGTACACAGTAACAGCCACATTGTGCAATGACTAACTTTGATTGACTTAGCTCTTCTCAGCAATTGCAAGGATCTAAGACATCTCCAAAAGTCTCATGATGGAAAATGCTATCCACCTCCAGTGAAAGAACTATGGAGTCTGAATGCAGATCGAAGCACATTATTTGCTCTTTTTTCCTTCTGTTTTGTTTCTTCTTTCTTGTGGTTCCTCCTATTGGTTCTAATACTTCTTTACAACATGACTAATGTGAAAATATGTTTAATAGGAATGTAAATGTGGAGCCTATATCAGATTGTGCGCTGTTTTGGGGAGGGAGAAGGGAAAGGAGGGGAAGAAAATTTAAAACTTGAAAGCTTATGAAAGTGAATGTTGAAAACTAAAAATAAGTTAATTAATAAAAATTTTTTTTAAAAATTAAGTCACAGGAGCAGAACTGGAAAAAAAAATGTGAGCTCCTTGAGGACAGGGTTAGTCTTTGTGTCCTCAGCATTTGGTGCAGTGCTCAGCCCTGATTACTGCCACTTAATGAGATAAAGCATTGGATTTGGAGTCAAAGTAGCTGGGTTTAAATTCCAACTCTGCTAATTGCTTCCCATGTGCTCTTGGGTAAATAATTTGGTATTATTCATTACAATAGCTTTATTCTCATTTATTATTCATTACAACAGCACTTTAAGATGTTCAAAACATTGGTCACTCATTTTCTCATGTGAGCTTCACAACAACTCTGTGAGGCGAGTATTCCAGGCACAGTTCTCCTCACTTTAACAGATGAATAGAAAGGCTCAGAGATAGGTGTTTTTTCCTGTGGTTACATAGGACGTGTTTGAAATAGGGTTCAGACTCATGTCTCCTTGACTATAAATCCATCGCTGTCCAGTATAGCAGAGTGCTGTTCCACTTTGCAGTCTCAGGGATAGAAGGGACCTCAGATCATATAATTCAACTCTACCCGATCGAACCCTTCTACAGCACCCCCAATTTAAACTTCTGGGTCTTTTGTAAAAAGAGGGCAGAGGAACAGATTATCTCTAAAAGCTATTCTAACTCTAAACTTGATTATCTTAAAAATGAAACTCCTAATTTATATTATAGAAGTTTACCTTTTTTTAGTTTATCATTTTCTTTAAGAATCCAATAAATTTTCTATTTTCATAGTGAGCTGATTTTAGGAATACTTGTTAAATATCACCATTGTTTGCTTTGAAACTAGTTCTGAAGAACAAACAGGTTTCTATAAAAATTGGTAAGTAGATTAAAATTATATGGCTTATACTTCAATAAAAGGTTCTAATCTATGATTTAAGTTAACACCATTTCCTAAGTTTGTGAAGTAGCTACTGAAGTGGAAGCAGTGATAATCTACCCCATAAACACTTTGTTAATCTTTTGGGATTAGGAGGATTCACAAGAGCCAATTTATCCAAGAATTTATAGTAGGCATTGTGGTCATTATTAAAATACAGGGACGTTATTATTGATGTACAAACTCAATTACCAATGTTGGTGTTTTTAATTTTCAGTGAGGTTGTTATTAAAGTAGAAGCTTAGTTTATTACATTTTTATAAATTTACATATTCCTACTTTTTGAAACAATTCCTGTAATTCCCCCAAATTATAAAAGTGACTGTTGTATCTCTTACCAAGGAGTGTCTTGCCTAGCTGTTTGCAGCCTTTTGGAAGCAGGAGGCCAAATTGCTAGTTTCTGCTTTTCTTACTTGATGGGACCACTTTAGGAAGAGAAATGCTAGCTGGTAGAATAATGGCCCAAAGTAGGTAAGGAACCTAGGAAGGTCCCCATCTTCAAAAATCTCTGCAATATATTCTACTGATAAGAGATACCATAAAGATTTTGAGGCCTTCCAAAAGCAAATATTCTTTAGAGGATTAAGTCATATTTACTTTACCTTGATTGCTAATGATAATTGTTTTTTACTTTACTGATGGAAGAAAGTCCTAATCAGAGCTGGAGGAAGAGGGATTAATAACTCTAGACTTGGCACATTTTTCATGAAAGGCAAATTGGGTAGACTACCACAGAGTGGGACTTTAGATGTCTAGAGAGTAGTGTGAGGGCACTGGATACTTGAGGGTTGGATGGAACAGAGTGACCGAAAGTGAGAGCGATTAAAGAAGGGAAATTGAGGAAGAAAACTTCCTCTACTTTGCAGTCTTACTTTGAGTCTTAATAGCAGAAGTCATCTTTGGCATTTTAAGTTATTGATGTATAGAAAGCTGAGAAACTATTTTTACAAGTGTCTCTGATAAAGGCATCATTTGTCAAATATGTAGGTAACTGAGTCAAATTTATAAGAATACAAGTCTTTTTCAAGTTGATAAATGGTCAAATGATAAGAGTTTTCAGAAACAAATCAAAGCTATCTACAGTCATATGAAAAATCCTCTTAAATCACTTTTAATTAGAGAAATGTAAATTGAAATGACTTTGAGGTATCACCTCGCACATTGGCTAATATAACAGAAAAGGAAAATGATAAATGTTGGAAAGGATGTGGGAAAATTGGGATACCATTTCATTGTTGGTAGAGTTGTGAACTGATCCAACCATTCTGGAGAGCAATTTGGAAACTATGCCTAAAGGGCAATCAAACTGTGCATACTCTTTGATCCAGCAATGAAATGATCCAAGACAATTCCAAAAGATTCATGATGAAAGATGGTATCCACATCCGGAGAAAGAACTGATGGAGTTTGAATGCAGATTAAAGCATACTATTTTCACTGGAGTTTTTTGTGATTTTTTTCCCTATTGCAAACTGTTTCTTCTTTCACAACATGACTAATATAGAAATATGTTTTACATGATTGCACATATATAACCTGTATCAAATTGTTTATGATCTTAGGGAGGTTGGGAGGGAGAAAATTTGGAGCTCAAAATTTTATAAAAAATGAACGATAAGAATTGTCTTTACGTGTAATTGGAAAAAATACTGTAAAAATTAAAACAAAATTAAGTTAAAAGAAGTTATTGATGCCTAGTATGGCTGTACCCAAAACAATCTTGTTAAAAAGAATTTTTCATTCTAGGAAAGGGTCTCTTTTTGTGTCATGGCCCCTTTTGGCAATCTGTTAAAGGCTAGACCCCTTCACAGAATAGTTTTAAATTTATAAAATCAAATAGATAGGGTTACAAAGAAAACCAATTATGTTGAAACACAGTTACCAAAATATTTTTTTTAAAAAGAGCAAGTGCACAGGCATCAGGTTAAGAACCCCTATTCTAGGAAATGAAGACCTGGTGATAGCTTTTCTATTATCAGATTCTCAGTAGTTAATTTAATTATTTATTACATGTATAATTTTGCTTCATTATACCAAATTATTAGACTGATTTTTTTTTAAAGTAGAAGACTAAGCATCCATTGATATCTTAGGTTTTTTTTAGTGTATAGTATTTTGACACATCTTTAAAGTGTTTTTTGGATACCTTTTGTTTTTTACATTGTAATCATTTCTCGATATACTCTTTCTCCAATTGAATCTTCCTTTTTCACAAAGAAAAACAATTAAGCAAAATCCGTCAACAAATAACCCTGTCTGGCAGGGTATGCAACATTCTACCCCTATAGTTTCTTAAACCTCTTTACTGAAAGAAAAGAAGTGTGTTTCGTCATCTGTTTTCTGGAACCAAGATTGATCATTGCAGAAAATCTGAGTATAGCTGTTAAAAGTTTTCTAGACATTGAATATGTTCACTTACTGGTTCTGATTTCTTCACTCTGTGTCAATACTATTGGACCCTATATTTCTGAGAAAACTTAAACATGCAAGATTGATGACTTGTTATTTGTAAAAAACCTTACAAAGTCAATCATTTACAGCATGGTAAAAGAAGCAGCCTTATTTACATTAGGAGCTGTTGTAGAATGTAAAGTTTTACTTTATTATTTTATTATTTAACCATTCTATTAGTTTTCCCACTATTTAAAAATTGAATTCCTTTTCTTAGTTTTCACTTTTTTGAGTGACTTTTTATGGGTGCCAGTTTAATTTAAAAAATTTTTGTTTTTGTTGTTCAGTCATTTCAGTCTTATTCAACTGTTTGTGACCCCATTTGGGGTTTTCTTTGCAAAGATACTGGAGTGGTTTGCCATTTCCTTTTACAGCTCTTTTTACAGATGAGGAAACTGAGGCAAATAGGATTAAGTGACTTGCCCAGGGTTATACAGCTAGTAAATATATGAGGCCAGAGGTGAAATCAGGAAGAGCAGTCTTCCTGATTCTGAGCCTGGCTCTCTATCCACTGCGCCATTTAGCTGCTTCTACAGGTAAAATACTAAGGGAAAAAATTTGAGCAATATAATAAAGGCTTGTATAAGAAATAACAGCAAATTATGTACTTAAATTAAGTTCTTATAATTAAGAACAGTGCATTGTGGAATTCACAGACTCTTATGAGCATCCAATTAAGTATCTACTGCTGGGTAGGTTCATAATAGCTTCTGTGTTCCTTAAAAGGAGTATGTTTTTATGTTTTATTTTCTTGTCTTCAAAGGATTGTCACATAAAAAAGAAAAAATAATTAGTTGAAACCTTTTTGGCTAAAATAATTAGAACTCATAAAACATGTGTTTTCTTTTAGAAATGAAGACTGACCTGAATTTATTGTTAGAATGTCTTAAATATCAAATGGACAACCCATCTTCACAAAAGGAGGCTTTGGTTACTATTTATTCAGTGTGTCAGCAAAACAGTAAGAAAATGTGTTAACATTTCATTAGGGATTTTCATTTAATGTGCTATTTCAGTGCAATAATATGTAATTCTCTATATTCTCTATATTTCCTATATGTTGTCACATTATTATCATTACGGACTTTATTTTGTCCTAAGAGAATCATTAGATAAATGTAGTTTTTCTTTTATTTTGTTTACAATCCTTTAGGTTATGCAAGTATTTATTTTCGAGAGATTGGTGGTTTGATGTTTGTAAAAAATCTTGCCAAGTCAAGCATTCACAGCATGGTAAAAGAAGCAGCCTTATTTACATTAGGAGCTATTGCAGAACGTGATGGTAAAATGTTACTTTATTATTTTATTATTATTTAAATATTCTGTTATATTACTATAATGCCAGCAAATATTTTAAAATTATACTTTTTCCTTAGTTTTCACACTAAATAGCTTTCTATGGGTGCTGTTTTAGTAAAAAAAAAATTTTTCAAAGACTTAAAACTGCCCAGTACTGGGGTATACATACCATAAAGCATAAAATATTTTTTGAAATGCTATTTTTATCTGCAGATAAAACTTAATTTGAAGCTAAACTAGCAGTTTATCACCTCAGCTTTATTTCTCCCCACTTGTTCCTTTAAAAATTATCTTTATTCTAAAATTAGTTGCCATCTACAGAAAATTTTAAATGCACATTTTTTTAAAGATCACATGTGAAACTTCAAGCTTGAGTTGTTTACAGTTTATTTTCATTTTTCATGTTTGACATTTCTCATGTTGCAATAATTTACCATTATATCTAACCAACTTTAAATTCCTACAATATTTTGGTGACTGGTTCTACGACCTGTGTTGAATTCATCCATTAAACATACATATATTAAGCACCTTCTGTTTTCCATTCAGTATATTAAGCAGCTGAGGAAAAGCTAGGTAGTTAAATAAAACATGTTCTCTTTCCTCTTGGAATTTATTGTCTAATAAGGGATATAGTTGGGCGTATTTTAATCCCCAAATTATTTTAAAAAGCGTATTGCATATGTTTGGTGGACCTCTGATTTTGCCAGGGTAGGGAGCTCCTATTAGCAGATCAGCCCCTACGTAGAAGCTCATAGTCTTAGTCCCCTGGGACAAGAAGAGGTTAAATGTGTGGCCCAAGCTCACACAACCATAAGTATCACAGGTAGGACTTGAACCCAGGACCTTTCTGACTGCAAGGCCAGCTCTCTTTCCATTCCACCGAACTGCCTCTCTTAACTGAATTATTACGGTAAGAAAGGAAGATGCCAGAGGATGATCACTTTTTAAAAGTGATAGGGAAATAGCACCAGTGTAGTTGGTCTTATTATTTCCTAACATGAGGTTAAGAGGTTCACTCTTAAACTTCTTGTCTGCTTTTTGTTTCCTAAACTCATTAAGGATTTTTTTCTGATTTTATTTTGAGTTTTCATTTGTTCAAATTTTCAACACGATGGATACCTTTTAAGGGCAATGGAGCCATTTTTGAGGATCACTTAAATACACTTGCCTTGGATAGCGGTCGCTCAGGTCTACCAATTAAATCATTGCTAATCAGTTATAGTAGAAATTATGTAGCATAATAGAAATATATGGCTAATCTATACATTCATGAAAGTAAGTATATTCACCTGTTGAATAAATAATTATGTTCATTTTTTAAATTGATACTTCTGTGAAGTAATTTAAATTTTGCATTTTTTCTTTCAGTTTATTGTCAGCAAACTTTGTGCACTTCAGAATTTTTTGAAGACATTATTTGGTTTCTATCTAAGTATGAATCTAACATCAATTTGAAAAGAATGTCTGTTTATGTGATGTTAGTCCTGGTTTCAAATAACAGTAGGTATCTTTTTTGCTGTATTAGAAAAACATTTTCAATATTAATGCCTCATTTTAAAATTAAAATTTAATAGCTTTATTTTTTCTCAACCCTTTAATTCTGATTCTTCAGAATTCTTTTTGTCTCACTAACTTCTGAAAGATGTTAGAAGAAAATTAAGAACACATTATCTCAATATTCTTAATATTAAGAGAAGTGAAATAATGTGAGTTCTTTGTACACACACACACACACACACACACACACACACACACACACACACACGTGCACTCAGGTCCATCAGTCAGTCAACAAGTTGTTTTGTCCACATATGACTAAATGACTGTTTTAGTAGTAAATGACTGGCACTGATTTCCCCCCCAATTGATAGGTTGTTTAGGCATTTTTGTAGACATAGTCTTAGAGTGTATATTTTCCTAAGGTACTTTACCAAGGGCTGAGTTTGAGGATTGCTACATTCGATTCATAAAATTTCATCTTAATTGCTCTTAGCAGATAGCTTCCAGACTTTTCTTCCTTAAAATAGAACTTACCCAAAGAAGGGTAAATGCGTGGTGTAATGGACTTGGAACCAGGGGAACCTGTGTTGAAATCTTAGGTCTGCTACCTGCTATTTATGTGACCTACCTCTTGTGACCTATTTTTCTCCTTTGTTAAGTGAGACGATTGGACTAAATTATTTTTAAAATAATTCTGGCTTTGAATTTTATGATCCTGGCTTCTCCATTTTCTAAATAGAAAAATATAAAATTAGAACTGGTCATTTTCTGGGAGGTTGAGAGGGTGTTGATCTGAACAGTGCTTGTTGAAGACTATTAGAGAATAACGTGGGTCATCAAATCATTCTATGCTTATTTTTAGGGGCTGGGCAGACTCTTGTGAGAGAAACAGGTTGTGTTGGTATCCTGCTACAGTTTTTTAGGTGAGCAGATGTAAGATATTTGTTAATAAGTAACTGACATTTCAGTCATCAGTACATTTTAAGTCATTGTATTTGCTTGTTCCCTAATAGAACAGCTCTTTCCATGTCTGAGATGGATTTGTCAAATGAAACCATTTACCAGAATTATCAGCTGTGGTCTTCGGTGTGCAGTGCTTTGTGTGCATGTGTAAATAATCCACAGAATGGTAATGATCTCAAGTGTTTAATTTGATAATTAGCTGGAATGTCTTTTCCTTCTCTTCAACCTTTCTCACCTTCTATTCAAGCTATAAGCTCCTTCAAAGCATATACCATATCATCTTTAATCTATTTTCTTCTGTGTCTAACATAGTTGTTGTACACAATATACGCTTAAATGTTTGCTGAACTTGACTTTTAGTTGTGAAAATAAACCTAAAAACAAAAATGGAAATCTAATTACTAATAATTCACACTTCAAATAGAAAATTTTTAGCCAGGCTAAAATAAATCATATTTGATTTTAATTTCTTTTAGATGTCAACCAGAAAATTTGCAGTTCAGTTTTTCAACATGCAAATAAATGGCTACAGAGCTGTGTAAAACCTGAGATAATTCGCCCTATTTGCTCATTTATTTGCCTGACTGTTGCAAATAACAGTAAGTATTTATTTTTTAATTGTTGCACTTAGAAGAGCAGATTTCTTTTAGGAGTAAACATTTGCTTTGGTTCACTAATTTGTTTATAATGTATATTCATCACATTATACTTGGGAAAATACTGAATCTGCTAATGTTGTTAAAAAAAACTCCTGTTTCTCCCCCACACCACGACTCATTTTTCTCTTTCTTCTTATCCAGTCTAATCCCTTTGTTTTTATCCTTGATATTGCCTTCCCAGATCTTGCCCTATCAATTATGTTCTTCCTGCCACCCCAGTCTCCAGTTTCCCTGTACTGGCTTCTTCCTGCTACCTACAAATTTGCATCGGTTTCTCCTGTCCTTTAAAAGCCTTTGCTTAATCCTGCCATCTTCTCACACAATCATCCTATAGCTCTCCTCCCTTTCATTGCCAGACTCCTAAAAAGAGTCATCTGTAGTCATTGAAAGTTTTAAGCAATCTCTAATCTTCGGCTAGGTGGCGCCACAGTGCACAGAGTACTGGGCCTGCCGTCGGAAAAATTCATCTTTCTGAGCTCACATCTGGCCTCGTACATTTACTAGCCGTGTAACCATGGGCAAGTCACTGAACCCTATTTGCCTCAGTTTCTTCATCAATCAAATGAACTGGAGAAGAAAATGGCAAACCACTCCAGTATCTTTGCCAAGAAAAACCCAAATTGGGTCATGAAAATTTGGACACAACTGAAAAGACTGAACAAAAAAATCTTCTAAATCAAATGGCCGTTTCTCAGTCCTCCTCTTGAACCTCTCTTTGGTTTTTCAATCAAATAGCATTTATTAAGTGCTTACTGTATGCCAGGCACTGGGAATGCAAAGAAAGGTTAAAAAAGTCTCTTCAAAGAGCTCACATTTTAGGGGGAGGGGAGATACCATTTAAATAATTGAGTACATATGAGATATACACAGAGTATCTGGGAAGTAATCTCAGAGAGGAAGCCACAGCAGCTAGGGAGACCAGGAAAAGCCTCCTGTAGAAGGTGGCATGTTAGCTGAGACTTGAAGAAAATCAGGAAAGAGAAGTAGCAGGTGTGAGGAGGCCTTGCATTCCAGTGCATCCATGGGGGACAGCCGTGGCTGGGGGACAGACAGAGGAAGAAGAATGCCCTGTGTGAGGATCACCAACAAGGAGAGTATAGCTAAGTGATAAGAATTTGTGGAAATAAGCAAATCAGAAGAAGGTTACAAGGAGCCAGGCCATGAAGAAGCCAGATAGAGAATTTTATCTTTAATCCTGAAAGTAGTAAGGAGCCAGTGGAATTTATTGGGGGGAGCAAGTCATCACACGGTCAGACTTTCCTTTTAGGAAAGTCCCTTTGGCAGTGAGAAATGGATGATTTGACTGGATTGAGACTTCAGGCAAGGAGACCAATTAGAAAGCTGTAATAATAATCCAGGTGAGAGGTGGTAAGTACCTGAACTAGGGTGGTAGTGGTTTGAATGAAGAGAAGGGGACATCCACAAGAGATGTTGTGAAGGCATAAATGCCAGGATTTGACAATAGTTTGGGTATGTAGGTTGAATGAGAGTGTGGAGCTGATGTTCTCTCCTCCCTTGGCTTCCATCATACTGATTTCTCCAGATTCTTCTACCACCTTTCTCTCGCTCCATTCTTTTTTAGTCAGTTTTGCTGAATCATTATTTAACCATAGCTCTGCTGAGTATAAGTGTACCATAAGACTTTTCTTTTCTTTCTTTTTTTTTTTTAAGGCAGTTGGAGTTAAGTGACTTGCCCAGGGTCACACAGCTAGTAAGTGTTCAAGTGTTTGGTCTGAGGCCAGATTTGACAGGTACTCCTGACTTCAGGGCCAGTGCTCTATCCACTGCACCACCTAGCTGCCCCACCATAAGACTTTTCCTAGGCCTTTTACGCACTTTACCTTCTCTTAGCTCCCAAGGATTCAACTGTCATCTTTACATCAACAGCTTTCAAATCTCTGCCACTGATCTAATCTTTTCTGATCTCAAGGGCTATTTCTGAGTCTGAACAACTGTGCCTCCATCCATCTCTCTGGTTCCTTACCTTCTCTCCATTCATGTGACAGCCACTGTAGGTCAGGTCCAGACCATCTTTCATGTGGACAAGTACAGTAACCTACTGATTGGTCTGGCTTCTGATCTCTTCTCTAATCCAGCTTCCACGGACGTGTGAAAAGTGTCTTCCTAAGGTACAGTTTTGACCATGTTGCTCCCTGAAAGCCTTTAGTGGATTCCTGTTGCCCCTGGAATGAAATCCAAATAAAAGCCTGGATTTTAAGGCACTTTCGCAGTCTGACCCCAGCCTGACTTCCCAGTCTTATTTCATGTTATTCCCATATTCCAGCCATGCTTGTCCCTTGCTTTCCCTCTGACTTAGCATTTCACCTGTAGGCTTTGTGTATTCACACAAGCTGTAGAGCATCAAGAACATATATAGTATTTGGAGTCAAAAGACCTTTTGAGTTTTAATCTTGGCTCTGGGAAAGGTTCCTCCCATCTCCAAGGCCTGCAATTCCATGGACGTTTATGAAATACTTTTTATATGTGAGACTCTGTGCCATACCCTGTGTCTGTGTGACTCAGAGCCAGAAAATTACTTCTCTGAAGCCTCATCTTTCTCCTCTCTGACATGAGGGGCATAGTTGGTGGCTTCTGCAGTCCCTTCCCACTCTGTATCATTGATTCTGTGGTCTGTTCCTGGAATATGGTTCTCATATCTGCCTTCCTCAAAGAATGCAGCCAGTGTGGTAGGATGGAAAGACCACTGGGTTTGGAGTCAGAAAGCTTGGGTCCAAATCCACGCTCTCATACTCACTGCCTGCAAATAATATTCTGGAACCTTGGGCAAATCCCTTAACTTCCCAGGGCTTCAGTTTTCTTCCTCATAATCCCTCCTCCATTTATGTGGGGCTTTATGGCCTTTGAAATGCTTTACATAAATTAGATCATTTGATCCTTAAAACAACTCTGTGGAGTTGGTAGAGCAAACATTATCACCACTTTATCAATGAAGAAATTGGGGCTCAGTGACTGGTCCAAGGTCACGCAGCTAGTTAAGTCTCTCTGGGTCTAAGTTTCCTTATAATGAGTTCGGGGAAGAGAAGGGATTAGTTGACTTTTAGGATTCTTTCTAGTTTTGAACTGGAAGGGCGAAAAACTAGAAAACTCAATTACATGAGTATTCCACCAAAGATATTTTGAGAAGACTTATATGCTTAAGTAAAGCATTAATACAGAATCGTTAATGGCAATTATCCACATTCCAAGGTATAAAAGGACTAGTTATGTTTTGCAGAGAAAATATGATCCCCTAAATTGTAATAATTTGATACTGCTCTCATGAGGTTTTTGCCTTTTCCTTGAACCTTAGAATTCAGCTAAAAGGACATGGGTATAGAATGGCATACTGTCAGCAGATTGTAAGAAATGGAGAATAGCAGAAATGCTGAACTGTTCATTGTGTAGTATGACACAGGGTGACCAAAGATGCTTATCACTTTGCAAGTCTAGGTGTTCTTTATTTGAAATATGCTTTACAAATTGATGAAAACTCATTTTCTGTAGTCATATAGCCTAACTTTATAATTTTTTTTCATAAAAATAGTTTCTAGCGATTTTATCAAAAACTTCTTGAATTCTCGCCTTATCCTGGAAATTTTTCTTATAGTTTCACTTCTAAGTGTAGAAAATTTTGGAAAGACTTCTCCCCTGCTGAGAATTAAATCTTTATATTCCTTAAGAACGCTAGGGTAAAAATAGTCTTGTTTCTTTAATGGTTCTTGCATTTAATTCATGGAACTAGAGTTGTGCCGGGGAAAAGGAAGTCATGACAGAATAATAATTAGTGACCATACATGTAACTAAGTCTATAATTAGATCCCCAGCTTTATGCCTAAGCAGAGAAGGCCAACAGGTGAAGGAAGAACATTTGGGCAAGGATAGACAAGTAAGCCAGATTCTGGACCAGCCAAAAAAAAAAAAAGATGTTGTCTCCTGCTAGTGAACCAGTTACTTGTTGGGTCATGCTGGCTGTATTTGCAGTGAGTGTTAGAAAAACAAATATATGCTACAAGGTTACTAAGAATATATGCTATTTACCTGCATTCGTTAGTGTAGTAATTCATATATTCTGAGAAGTAATAAGAGCATTAGCTAGAATAGGTGGAATGAAAGAAATGCTCTTGGACAAAAGTTATATTACTTTGTTCTGTGTTCGGACTTGACGGAATCATTGTTGTTGTTCAGTCATTTCAGTTGTGTCTGACTCTTCGTGATCCCATTTGGGATTTTCTTGGCAAAGATACTGGAGTGGTTTGTCATTTCCTCCTCCAGCTTATTTTACAAATGAGGAACTGAGGCAAACAGGGTTAAATGACTTGCTCAAGGTTATACAGCTAGTAAACATATGAGACCAGATTTGAAATCCTGAAGATGAGTCTTCCTGTCTCAGGCCCAACACTCTATCCACTGTGCCACCGAGCTACCCTAATATTGAATAGATTAGGAACAGACAAAATTGGCAGCTTGATGATTACAATGGAAACTAAATAAGTAAGTCTAGTCATTATGATTCCACTAGGCCCTTTAAATTTGGGACTTCAAAGCTTATCAAATTACTGTCCCTGGAGAAGTAAAGAGAAGATACTTCTGTACAGTAGAAGAGAGAGTGGTCTAAACATGCTTATCGAAAAGCATAGGTATATTGATGTAAATACAATTTAAGAATTGGTTTGTAATTGATATGTGCATAAATGCCGAATAAGGATTTTCTTCTACATTCCAATTCAAGTTGAATTCAAACATTTATTGAGCACCTATCATGTACAAGATACTATAATAGGTGCCAAAGATAAAAATAAAACAGTCTTTACTTCTAAAGATATTGCTTTCTACTGAGGGGCTAAACAGGCACACGTGAATATAAGATAATTTGGGGAGGGAGAAAGCACTGACACCTGGGAGGTCAGTAAAGTTTATATGTAGGGAGTGGCAGGAAGAAGAAGAACCTTGAAGAAAGTGACCAATTCTAATAGAGTTGAAGAGGCCATATGTTCCGGGCGGAGGAGATCACCCGTACAAAGCCACAGAGATGGGGAGTGGAATACTAAGTCCACATACTAATGACTAGGCTAGTTTGATTGGAATGTAGAGTGAAAAGGAGAAATAGGAAAAATGAGTGGGAACCAGATTGTGGAGGACCTTAATTGACAGATTCAGGAATAGCACATTATCCCCAAAGCAATAAAGAGACACTGAAGATTTCTGAGTCGGGGAGTAACGTAGTCAAATTTTGCCTCATAAAGATTTGGGGGGACATGTGTGTTAGGAATGGATTGGATAGGGTGGAGGTAATTAATGAGAATACTGTTGCAGTTGTCCAAGGCTTAATGCAACCAGCATAATGTCACCTACAAAGAGAAGCATGTGGAGACTGTCACCATTTATAGGGTACCCCTCTTCAATCTGGACCCCAGATTAGGCATCTTTCTTGAGAAACACCTTTGGAAAGTACATAGCTCCTTGCCTTATGCCTTGCTTGATATTAATAATCAGAGGCTCACTAAACAAATTTATTTCTTTGTGTCTTTCAAAGACTCTTGTATAGTTTTAACATATGCATGGAAAACACCTTGTTGGAGAGAGCTTTGAAAGTGACATTTTCCTGTTCCCACTCATTTCCTTTTTTTGTAGTCAGTAAGCACAGTGAATTGACTAAGCTTGCTTAAATGGTCATATTTTTGCTTCATAATATTAATAGTTCATTGTTAGTGACCATATTACATTTGAACAAATAGGTGAGCCAAAGAAATTATTCTTATAAAAATTTCTAGTCATGAGAAAGCAGATATATGGACCTGAATTTCTTGCTGTTTTCTTGATCATACTTTTTTGGTCGCAATAATACCGGTAATTTTTTCCAAATCATTAGATATCTTCCCTGGTTTTAGATATCTTGAAAATTCTTCAGTACCCTTAAAATTATCTTATTAAGATGGCATGGACTTCTTCTCTACATACATGGGCTACTCTAGTTGCACTTCCCACTTTTCTTTTTTTTTTTAACTTTTTTTATTAATTTATTTTAATTTATCAACAATCACTTCAATAAGCATTTGAGTTTTAAATTTTTTTCCCCCTTCCTCTTGTCCTCTCTCCCCAAGATGGTGTGCAATCTGATGTAGGCTATCCATATACATTCCTATTATACACATTTTCTTTTCTTTTTGTGAGGCAATTAGGGTTAAGTGACTTGTCCAGAGTCACACAGCTAGTAAGTTTTTTGAACTCAGGTCCTGCTGACTCCAGAGCCAGTGCTCTATCCACTGCGCCACCTAGCTGCCACATATTTTCACATTAGTGATGTTGTAAGGAAGAATTAGAACCAATAGGAGGAACCACCAGAAAGAGAAAACAAAACAAAACAGAAGAAGAAAAATAGCAAATAGTATGCTTTGATCTTCATTCAAACTCCATAGTTCTTTCTTTGGATGTGGCTAGCATTTTCCATCATGAGACCTTTGGAAATGTCTTAGATCCTTGCGTTGCTGAGAAGGGCTAAGTGTATCAATGTTAGTCATTGCACAATGTGGCTGTTATTGTGTACAACGTTCTCCTGGTTCTGCTCACTTCACTCAGCATAATTTCATACAAGTCTTTCCAGGTTTTTCTGAAGTTTGCCTGCTCATCATTTCTTATAGCACAATAATATTCCATTACATTCATATACCACAACTTGTTCAGCCATTCCCCAATTGATGAGGAATTCCCTCAATTTTCAGTTCTTTGCCACCACAAAAAGAGCTGCTATAAATATTTCTGTACATGTGGATCCTTTTCCCATTTGTATGATGTCTTTGGGATATAGCCCTCGAAGTGCTATTGCTGGGTCAAAGGGCCACTTTTGTTTTCTTTAGTGCCATTTTTATTTTTTCATGTAGCACACAAATATGGTGATTCCATTTGTATTTTTTTAAGTTTATTTTATTTTTATTGCTGTCTTTTGTTTTATTGTCATTTTCATTTCTAAATATATTCCTACCCAGTGAGTTATCCCTTGTAACAAAAATGAAAAAAAAAAAAGGAAAAAAAGCAATTCATCAAAACCAACACCTCAGTCATATCTGAAAATGATGTTTGGAGGGGGAGGGGAGTTGTCTCAGCTAACTCTGACTCTGAATCATAGGAGTTGGTGGGCTTTTACTCCCCAAAGGATAGGCAAAATGCTAGTTTATTTAAGCTCCTGCCCTCAAGGGTCTCTTGTTGACTGAGGATATCAAAAGCCTATTTTCTTCAGCTGAGGAGTTGGGTCAGGCATCTGGGTTGTTAAATTCTTAGTGATCAGGACCTCATCTGGTCAGGTTTGAAGCCACACTCAGCACCCACTACATGTAATATATACTTGGAGCCATGGGAGGATTGGTATCTGAGGTGACGATTTTAGATGGAATCTTGGTGGCAAACAGGCTGAAATATTTTATTTTTTAGGAGTTAGTGAGGTAGGGCAGAATAGATAGTGCCTCTGTGTGGTGCAAGATGTTCTGAGGAGAGGAAGCCTATAAATCTGGTCCCTTGGTGGGATTGGATTTGAAGCCCAAGCATTCTAGGATTAGGGATGGCAAAGGGAGAAATGGGTGCTGGAGCAAGGGTCTCTGTGTCAGCAGCCACTGCCACCTACCTGGGTGCTCGGTGATAATGGAGGTCTTACCCAGTAAAGGGCACTGGGCAATGAAGATTACTTTTGCATGACTAAGGACTTACTCACCCTTGTCTGGCTTCTGCCTTCCACAGTGCTCAGATTGTTCAGTGACACAGCACAAAGTAGTGCTGGCTCCACAGATGGAAGGGAAACCTTTGGAGAAGAGGACCTACCAGGCACTGGGAGATGCTGGCAAAGAAGGAATAGGTGCTGGGCTAAGAACCCTAGAGGCAGCGGTGGACCCCACCTACCTGGGCTCTTGGTAGTCGTAGAGGGCTAAGGCATGCTGGTTTTCTCAAATGTAGCCAGCCTTTAGATAGCGCTTAGAGGTTTACAAAACACTTGACTATGGTATCTCATTTTATCTTCACAACAATCCAGTGAGGTCGGCATTATTATCATCCTCACTTTATAGATGAGGAAACTGAAACCGAGAGAGGTTAAATGGCTTGGCCAGGGTCACACAGCTAAGGAAGTGCCTGAGGCAGGATTTGAACTTGGTTCTTTCTTACTTCGAATCTAGCACTTTATCCCCTATGCCATTTGTAAATTGGTGCAAGGTAGTGAGTTTCAGGGCATGGAAGGCTTTAACATCTAAGAGAGTAGAGCTGTTCTTCTGTGCAACCTCCCCCTGCCCCCCCAGCTTCCAATCCGGGCAGATAGCTGCATTTAACTGTCATCATGCATATTTAACATTTCCTTAACTTGTGGACTTTTAAACTAGGCACGTGAAGAAAAGGTAAGTATAGCTACTATTGCAAGCAGTATATAAATTAGATAAAATCATAATTAACTTTCTTTGGTTCTAAGATCTTATTACTTTATTTCCTGAGCACACGTACAGGAACATTTTATATCTATTGGTGGACTGGCCATACTCTCTGAAGTTCTGACAAAGCTGGAACATGATTCCCATGGGAACCTGCCCAGTGCTAAACTGGCAGTGGTGGTGACCAAGACCCTGGACGCCTGCATTGCTGACAATCGTGAGTGATGGAATTCCAATATCTGCATGTGTCATACTTACAGAATGACAATTGAGAGCTGAACTTTAAGTTTGGCATCAACCAAAGCATTGGTGATGGTAGAGAAGTTATTTCCACTGCTTGTGTTTAACCAATAGTAGATGTGAAATAAAGGTTTCACACTAGTAACTAAATGCTTATGTTGAAGGAACAGAAGAAAGGGATCTAAGTCCAGTCTATGCGTTCCTTACTTATTTGGAGTGAATATAAATGTAGTGCTTTCCAATAACTGTGATTAGTCAAAGCATAATTTAGTTAAATTAATAAGTATTTTTAAGCATCTGTTCTGAATAAGACACTGCTAGGCCCTGGGACTACAACAATAAAAATGAAACAATTCCTCTTTTCGAAGAGCACACATTCCACTGGGGAATTCAACATCAATCTATCAAGTAGCAGATTTGTATTGATTATGTCCTGTGTGCCAGGCACTGTGCTGGCCACCAGGGTTAGAGGATAAAAATGAAAGTCTTTGCCTCCAGGGAGTTTCCATTGTATGAGGGGGAAATGGCATGTGGTCAACTGAAAGGAAGGGGGGGGAGGTAGGAAAGAGCACAGCTAACTGGGGATCAGGAAGGGTCGAGTTACAGGTGGCACTACAGCTAAGTCCTGAAGGGTGCTTGGGATTCCAAGAGGTGAAGAAGAGGAAGGACAAGATTCCAGGCACAGGCCTGGACACAGGAGGGGAATGTCATGTGTGGTGAATAGCAGGGAGGCCAGTTTGGCTGGAACATATAGCATAGGAGGGGGATGATTGTGAAATGAGACTAGAAGAATAGACTGGAACCAGATTGCAAAGGGCTCTTGCTAACCTCATCAGCCTCCATAGGTTTAATGATCATATCTATGCAGATAACTACCAGATCTCGATATCCAGTCCCAGTCTCTTCCCTGAGCTTTGATCTCCACATCACCAGTTGCCTGTTGGGACATTTCAGGCTGGATGTCCCAGAGACATCTCAAAGTCCACAGGGCCGAAACAGAGCCCATTATCTTTTGCCTAAACCCACTCCTTCTTTGAAGCTTCACTTGGAATCCCCAAAATCCCCACCATTCTTTCATTTTCCCAAATTTACCACCTCAGTGTTATCATCAATTCCTCAATCTCCCCCCCCCCCATAACCAACCAATTGCTAAATTTCTTCCATTCTACCTTACTAATATGTCTCCCTTTCTGCATTCACAAGCCATCGCCCTAGTTGAGGCCCTCATCAATGTTCATTTAGACTATCACAGTGGCCTCCTAATCAGTCTCCCTGCCTCAGTCTTTCCTGCAATCCATTCCATCTTCCATGGAAATCCATGATTTTCCCTAAAGTCAAATTGACCATTTCACTTCCTTTTTCATTAATAGCCAGTGTCTCCGTAGTGCCTCTAGCATAAAATATAAATGCCTCTGGCTTTTAAATGCCTTTACAACTTGGTCCCATCCTATTTCTCCAGCCTTATTATACATTATACACTCTACAATTCAACTACGCTGACATTCTTTCTGTTCTTCTGTTTCACAGACCCTTATGTATCCTGTTCTATGCCTTTGTATTGGCTGCCCCAGTACCTGTAATATATCCCTCTCCTCTGTTTCATAGAATCTTTCTCTTCCTTCAAGACTCAGCTCAAGTACCACTTTCTACATGAAGCCGTTCCTGAATCCCCAACTGCTAGTTCCTTCCCTCCTTGACTTCCTTGCATTTATTTGTATTTGTTCTGTATGTGTTTCTATATGTACTTATTGACTCCATTAGAATGTTAGCTCTATTAAGAGTAGGAATCATCTTATTCTTTGCATTTTTATCCCCAGTGCCTAGTGCAGTACCTGCTATACAGTAGGCATTTAATAAATGTCTGTTGATCAATTCATTTATCAACTCTATGGGGTAGATAATCTTTCATTTTTATAGATAGAGAAACTGAGATTTAGAGAAGCTAAGTCACTTGACTAAGGTTACCCATCTCATAGACTGCAGAGCCAGGACTCTTAGGATGTTAGAACTGGAAGGGATGGTAGAGATAATCTCATTTAACTCCCTGTACTTCCAGATGAGGGAAAGTGAATTGCCCAAGGTCATATCACTAGTGAAGGACAGAGTGAGAACTTAAAACCGGGATGTTGTGACTGTTAGGCCAGTGTTCTCTCTGCCCTATTGCTTCTGGGCCTACGAAAGGTTGATGAGAGATATAAAAGTCGAGAGGAATTACTATAGAGAGCAACCTTGCATTATTAATAGTAGCGAGATCATGACCTGGTGACACATTTCTGTTCAAAGGCCAAGCACAATAGGAAGAGTATATTACCACGTAATCAGCATGACATTTGTCATGCAACAAGAATCCCAGGAACCAGAGCCTACATATGTTCAGATGAGGCTGAGAGGGAATGTCTTCCTTGTTCAGAGGACAGCCTTTCATAGTGTGCTGGTGGAATGAGGTTTTATGCAGGCAGATGTGATTCCCCACAAGCTCCCAGTGGTTATGTATCTCCCAAAAGGAGTTAGAGAAGACTCTGGAAAATAGACAACATACATATATATATCTGAAGTTTTCTAATACTTATTCTTTTTTGATCTTTTGTGCTTACAGCTGCTGTTGGGGTAGTACTAGCCAAACATCACATTGTATCCAAGCTTCTGACACTGCTACTTCATGAGAGTCTGGATTCAGGAGAACAATTTAGCATTATTCTTGCCCTTGGACATTGCACAGAAGCTTGTGGTAAGTATGGGCTTCATTGAATGGACTTGATACCACAGATGACTAGGAAAGCACTTCATACGTTTTGTTCCGTAATAAGCCTGGGCCAGCGTGGAATATAGGAAAGAACCATAGACTGGGAGTCAGTTAGGCCTGATTCAAATCCTAGCTCTTCTACTGATACTTTATTCAAGTCATTCAACTTCTCTAAGGCTCAGTTTCCTCATCTGTAGAACGAGATGATCTTTCTGGTTCCTTCTAGGTCTAGAAGGTTCCCTGATCTGAATTCTCCTGAGAATTACCACAGATCCTCCTGAGACATAACTTCCTGGTCTTTAACAGATTCACATCCTGTCAATTTCTTTTTCTTTGTTTTGATTCCCTCATTTTAGTTTTGAGCTGAATATTCCACTGGAATATTGTCATTAGAAAATAAAATTGATATGACATGTTAACATGTTTCCTATCTTCCTAGCCAACTGTAAGTTAGGTTGTACAGTGGATAGATGCTGGACCTGAAGTCAAGAAGACCTGATTTCAAATACCATCTCAGAAATTTATTAGCTGTGTGACCCTGGGCAATTCATTTAACCTCTGTCTGCCTCAGTTTCCTCTTCTGTAAAATAGGGATAACAAAAGGACCTTCCTTGCAAGATTATTGTGAGGATCAAGCAAGATAATATTTGCAAAGTTCTTTGCAAACCTTAAAGCACAATGTAAATTATAGCTATTATTTTGTAAGGTAAAACCTATAATAGGTATCATGAACTTCAAATTATAATGATGTTTCCTTACAGGGCTCTAAAATTTCTGTCTTTTCAAATGGTTATTCAAATTTGGGAATATGCAGAAAACAAAAACCATGAATCTCTTATATAATTAAGTGGAAAACTTGAAATTGTGGGGAAAATACAATACAAGAAAAAAGTAAAGAATTAAGAAAAAGTTATTTCCATCATATAATATTTATTGAGTACTTGTCACATATGTTTTAGGAATTTTATTTATAAAAATCTGACTTCCTCACAAAGTGTTAGCCACATTATTTTAACAAATATTTACTTACTATGTGTTCAACATTGTGCTAAAAACTATGGAATGTAAGAATAATAGAAGATATATTCCCTGCCCTTTTTGAGTTATAATCTAATGAGGTAGATAGGACTTGTATAAGCAAAAAACATTTAGAGTAATGAAAGCAAGTTTGAAGTTATGTTTGATTCTAAGTTTTATTGGAATTCAGAGAAGGACTCCTCTTTAATCCTTCATTGACAGATGCAGAGAGCACCTTAGATTTTTAAAAGCTGTGCTAATGAAGCACAAGGCTCTGTCTAGGCCAATCATGCTGGAAAAGCTTAGAGTATAGAGGTACTGGGTGATTTTTTTTTGTTTTTTGTTTTTTTGTATTTTTATCCACGGCAAATATTGAAGACCATTTGCTCAGTTGTAGAAGGGCTGTGACCTGCATTAGTAGAGAGAGAAATCTTTGAAGCAAGTACAGCAATCTATCTAAACTATATGTATGTAATATATATGTATGTTTAGATACACATATATATCTTAATAACTGTACATAACACACATATTCAAGTTCAAAAGTAAAATGTTATCACTTGATAAAATGATACATTTTTAGAGCATAGATTATTGCCTGGGTTGAAAATGCTTTAGAACTCTCTCTCTCTATATATATATTTTTTTTCCTTTAATTTTTTATTAGCATAATGAACAACATTTTTGATTGGGAGAAATTGTGTGATCTGTTAGAAATTCTTGCAACTGCTTAAAATTCCTGCAAGAAGGAATTAAAGTGTGGTTTAGAGTATTTAATGATGAAATAATTTGCTGTCACAATTTTATCTAACATCATATATTATATTTTATAGAAGAAAATCAGCTTCATCTATTTAAGAACAATGGTCTTCCAATAATGATCCAAGTCTTAACTGAATCACAGAATGAGGAACTAAACAAAGCTGCTACCTTTGTGCTGCACAACTGCAAAAAAATTAGTAAGTTTACTCTTGATATAAAAAACAAATCAAAACAAAACAAAAACAGTTCTTCCCAGTTTTATATAGATTTATTTGCATTTATGTTGGTGGTAAAGAAGAAGAAAACCCTTAGTAACCTAAAAGCATTTTATAAATCTGAGCATGGTGTGATGGAAAGAATATTGACTTTGGAGGAGGACCTGAGTATGAATCAGGGCTCTGCTACTTAATGGTATACCTTAGTGAAGTCACTTACCCTGTTTGAGACTCAGTTTGCTGAAGAAGAAAATGAAGGTAGTGAAGTAAGATTCCTTCCAGTTCTATAGCTATGATCCTATGAAGGAATTGGGGATATTTACCTTGGAGAGAAGAGTCTTGGTAGCTATAACATAGAAAAGGAGTTAAGTTGACCCCCCATGACCTCCAAGAGCTGGATATGTGGGTGGAAGGTACAGAGAGGCAGATTTAGGCTCACTGTAAGGAAAAAACTTCCTAATAATTAGAGCTACCCAGTTGTAAGTAGAATGGGCTATCTTGGGAGGTAGTGGACTTCGCTCTCACTAAACTTCTTCAGGCAAAAGCTGGATGGTCACTTGTTCAGTATGTTCTAGAAAACATTCTTGCATTGGCACCAAAGAAAAAAGTGGATTTCCCTACATTCGTGGTGGATTGTGGAACGTTACCCATACAGTCAGACTAGATTGATTTGTTGTTTAGTTCTGCTAATATGCTTTCTCTCCTTTATTATTCTCTGTTATAAGATTCTCCAGGATATGGGAGGAAGAAATAGTTATATTTGGAAATGAAGATGATATAAAAATAAAAGATAGCAATTTCCTTTAAAAGAAGATTCTTATGTTAATTTTGGGGTTGGATTAGATGACCTTTGAAGTTCTGCTGAACTCTGACATTCTTTGATCCTGTGAAATGCCTGCTCCTCCATGAAGTCTTTCTTGGTCCTTACTATTGATTTCCCCCTCAGACTTTATATAACCTTTTCTATAATGTACTTATCATGTATTATTGTGTCTTTTCAAAAAATTCATTTTCCTTTTCATAAGAACTTAATCAACATCAACAAACAAGATCATTTTAACATGAAAAGAATAAGAAAAAGGGAATTGTTTATGAAATTAAATTATTATGTTTAGGTTCTTTTTTTCCCACTACATACATCTTTTTTTGTATAATTTAAATTTAACATGGTAGTTCTAACACCACCCTGTTTTTATTTCATTCTGAACTTCCTTTTGCTCTCTTCTGTTTGGTTTTTTTTAATGATTCATTAATGTTCTTTCTTTGTTTCCTTTCTTTTTGAAATATCACTATCATTACCCCATGCTCATTTCCAAATTTCCCCCAAGAAACAAAAATAAAAGCCTTCCCTGATAACAAATAAATATGGCCAGTCAGATATGATTTGGTTTCATGACTATTCATATATGTCATTTTCCTACTAAATTTTATCTTATCTAAAGTCTGTTATCTCTTTCTCCCAGTACCTAGCATAGTATTCTGTGCACAGTAGCCATATATTAAATGCTTCTCGAGATCTTTCATGAAGATAAGCTGGAAAGGTGGTAGATGAGTAGACGAGCAACTTTTTTTTTGTTTTATTGCCTAGTTAAATCACTAAAATGATAAAGCTTTGTAGTAAATGATAAACTATCCACTTTTTTTCTGTTTTATAAAAGCAGAGAAATTATCTCTAAACCTAGAAGAATTTTCTTCTAATATGAATGAAGCACAAGAGTTAAAAGAATTGAAGGTGAGAGAGAGGAATATTGAAGACTTCTGGAGGAAAGCAAAAGAAATTCTTCACAGAATAAAACAGCTTGAAAATAAAGAAGATGAGGTCAGCCTGCTTATTTTCAGGAACATAAAGCCTCTTGCAAAGATTTTTGTTAAGGTTGGAGGCAAAAATCCTTTCTAGATGGTTCTATCACAAGTGGGAGAAATATGAGCATATGAAACATGTGATCAAAACTTTTCATTTGAAAATATAGACCATGATAAAAAGAAGCTTTTGGAGAAGACAAGACTAGCTAGCAAGGATGGTTGAACAGATCATTTCAATTCTTCACTGTATGTATGCACATGAGTGTGCATGAGTGCACAAATGTATGTGTGTGTAAATACATGTGGTAGGATCATACCTTTAGAGTCAATAGGAACCTTAGCGATGATCTGATCAGGCTCCTGCATTCTCAACTGCCTAAGGTCACACTGTTCATGGGTAAAAGTGACAGAATTTGAACTTGGATCCTCAGTCTTCATAGCTAGTGCTCTCCGCACTATCTCATGAGGCTTACTTATATACGTATATGTAAATGTCTGTGTATCACAGAGATCTCTCCTTCCTCTTCTTTAGTGTTAATGTTACCAGAATCTCTTTTTATAAACATCATTATTCTTGCTTTTGGCCAGGTTGAAGAGGCTTTGATTTAATATTCACTAAAAAACAGGCATATTCTCAATGACTGTTCTTTGCTGGCTCCTGGGAAGACACAAAGATAAATAAGACAGTAAACCCTTGAGGAGCTTACAATCTATTAGATATGAGGGTCCAGGCCTCTCACTATTTAGAACAGCAAATAAACCTCTGTTCCCCATTCCTGAAAGTGATGAAAGAATATAAAAGGCATTTTTGAAGGTCAAGGCCTTGGGCTTAGCCCTGGCAGAATCCATTTCTGCAGAAGTTCTGTGGAGCTGGATGCGCATCCATCTACCTTCTGGATTGGTACCTGGCAGTCCCCCAGAAAATTGGTGGACATGTCTCGTTGCCAGGAAGCTCCTTCTTAGACTTAGCAAAAATCAGCTTCCCCCTTCTAATATAGAATAGCTCCCATTCCTTCAGGGTTTACATGTTATTGAGCATTCACCGTAACAGCCTGTGAGATAAGGAAGGCAAGCATGATCATCACCTGGTGTAAGTAAGGAAACTGAGGCTCAGAGAGGCGAGCCAACTTGCCCTTGGTCACATAGGTAACAAGGTTTGGAGCCAGGATTGGGACGTGGTGTCAGTACTCCAAGTGTGGGGCTTTTTTCAATATACTGCTATGGGTTTTTGCCCGTGATGCTAGCTAACGTTTACAGTTGCATTGAGACCTGTATAGAAGACAACACAAAGAAATGAAATAATTTCTCTCTTCATATATTTTTTGTTTTCTATAAAATGTTTGCCTATTTTTCCCTTTCGCAATCTAAAATGGAGATGTTTCCGATTACTTATAAAAATGTATTTCTGTTACACTTTATAAAATTCACCTATTTCTTGTGTAGAGAATGAAAGGAAAAGCAAAACGTGGATAATAGATCTTCTTGGAGTTATTTACTTGACATTTTTCTGTTACAGGAAAAAATAGAAAGAAGAGAATTGGTTGGTGATTCTTTGCCAACGAGCTTAAGTACCCAAAATACGTCAAAACACTCTAGAGTGGATAGCATTGATAGAGGTACTAATGCAGAAAGAAGCTGCCCCAAAAAGCAGTGTCAGCCTCAGAGCTGTGAGCCGAATGCTGCAGAGCGGTGTGATGGCCCTGTAGGGCATGAGCCCCAGAACCCATCGAGGAGTGACAGGGCAAATCCAGTCAGCGCCTGTTATAAAAAATGTGGGCCCGCCAATGTTCTGAGCACCACTAGTGCGCCATCGACTGCCAGTGCCCCCAGAAGGCATAGCTTATACAGAGGAGCGGCTTGTGAAAAGAGGGCTTTGTCCTTACAAGCAAGGTACAGTATGTGAAAGGTAAACCTAAGCAAAGAGCAATGAAGCAGGCATGTTTAATATTAATATAACACATCCCACATTCATACTGCTTCAGTGGATCTGTGATGTTATTGATGTTGGTATTGCCTGCACTTGTACAGATCCCAGGTCACTCACCTCTTCTCATTCTGTGACACCCTTGTCAGTGTTCTCCTGTCAGTTCTCTACTGGAAGTCCCCCCAGCTTGCTGGGGGCTTTCCTTTAGATCTTTTGACATTACTTTTGACATTACTGTGCAGTCTGTGGGCTCTCCATTTGTAATCTGCTGATCTTATCATATGACATATTCAACCCCTTTTCTGGTTATATAACTCTTTGATTATATATTTCATGCAGCTTTGGTTATGTTCATTGTTGGTAATATCCTATGGGGGCAGCTAGGTGGTGCAGTGGATAGAGTCCTGGGCCTGGAGTCAGAAGACTCCTCTTCCTGAGTTAAAATCTGGCATCAGACACAAGCTATGTGAGCCTAGGCAAGTCACTTAACCCTGTTTGCCTCAGTTTCCTCATCTGTAAAATGAGCTGGAGAAGGAAATACCAAACCACTCGAGTAGCTTTGCCAAGAAAACCCCAAATGGGGTCGTGAAGAGTCAGACACAACTGAAAAATGATTGAACAAAAAATATGCTGCAGCCTATTTATGTCCATCAGGTACCTCTCCTTTGCCCTTTGGGTGACTAGTAATTTTGATTCTTCAATGATTTATAGCTCTATTGCATCATTGGAATACTGTTGGCATTACAAAGATCAGTTTTTATTTCAGGAAGAAGCCTGGAGTTATTGAAAGCATTGCACAATTTCCCAGATTTACTCCTTCCCACTCTATTTCTCTTATTAAATTCTAGGACAGCTCATTATCCATCTTCAGTGCTTGTCCTTGATCTGTTGGCTGGCTTTCCCACTGTGTATCAGTGTCTGCAACAACAGAGAGCCTTTATCCCCTTGGTTTTTCCTTTCTGGATAGTTAGGTAAAACCCTTAAATGTTTCTGGAGGCTCCACATCATTCCAGGGGTTGATGTGATCAGCACAGAGTCCTCAACAGGAAGTAGAAGTCGGGTACTCAGCTGTTTGTGCTGGTCCAGGTTCTTACTGAGGTAAGAAGAACAGGCAGATGAAGCCATTAAGTCAGAACCAGTTAGCAATGCTTACTGAAAGATGCTTACTTTGGATAGAGAAGTTTGTGGGGATTAGACAAAACAGAAATTTTCTTCAGTCTTATGTACATAGTTCATCCTTGAGATAATGACATATGTGAGGCCTCTCCTGATTCCCACAGCATCTAGAGCCTTCCTCCTCCCTGAATTATTTTCTATTTATTTTGCTTATAATTGTACAAGTACATGTTATCTCCCTCTGTGGAATATAAACTCCGTGAGGGCAAGAACTGTCATTTTTGCCTTTATCCCCAGAACTTAGCAGAGTCTAGAACATGAGCATGTCTAGAACCTTTCTTTCTTTCTTTCTTTTTTTGTTTTGTTTTGATTTTTAGCGAGGCAATAGGGTTAAGTGACTTGCCCACAGTTAGTAAGCGTTAAGTGTCTGAGGCCAGATTTGAAAGAACCTTTCTTTCTTAAGTATGTAGTCCCTAGTCAGACCATTTGATTTTTCCTGTTGACTCTTCTCTATTTGGCCCCGTGTTTTTTGTTTGTTTGTTCTTCTGGCCACTGTTTACAGTTTTTCAGCCAAGAGCCAGCAAGACCTCCTTGCTGCTGGTGACCGGGCAGAGTCAGGGATGGGGAAATAGTTTTGTCAACTGATGCTAAAGAATTGTTCATGGGATTTAGAGTCAGAAGGGATGTTAGAGATGAAGGTCACCTATGTTTTAAGCTAAAGGACTGGCATTGGCCCCCAGATTGTCTGCCTCTAAATGTAGCACTCATTCTGCTGCACCGTACTAACCTAGTGCTCCTTACACAGATAAGATGCTGAGTCCAGAAGACTCATTTCCACTGTCCTTCCAGTGTTCTAAATGCCACTGAACATCTTAAACTTTCTCTGATCATTTCTTTCCCTTCTTTTTTCTCATTTTAACTTGATTATGCCTATATGAAAATGTTGAAGATGGAGAGGAAAACACTATTTGACTTCTCATGGTGGCCAGAGCCTTCAAACCCACCTCCTCACCCCTCTATTTCAGCCTTAGTTCAATCATGATGCCTTCTGGTTCCCAGTTTTCTTTAATAGTTTCCCTTGCAGCTGAGGTGGCTCACCCATGTAATATCATGTTAGATTCACCTATGTTTGGGAGATAGAGGATTTCATTTCCATGAGGGTGGGCAATTCTGACAGTTTCTGCTGAGTAACACCTAAAATACCTGCTGATTGGAAGTAACTGTCATGTAGGCCCTCTGGTCCTATGTATGCCATTTATTAGGCAAACACTGAGTCCAGAGTAAGAGCAACCTCTGCCTGAGGGAAGAAGAAGCAGTATATAGATTGGGAGCTGAGCCCAGGTAAATCTAAAGGCCAGGCCATGCTGGCACTGAGGTTTCTTCAGACTACCAAAATCCACATATGCTGCGATGGATGGGAAAATCAGTTGTAGATGTGTCAATTCAGAGTGAAAGGAGGTAAGATAGGGGATGCTCAGGGTTTTGGCTCTTGTGTGAATCAACCTGCCTTACCAAAGCTTTGGCCTTTTTGTGGCAGCTGTTTTCTGCTTTTCACCTCCATCCTCCATTGACCTGCTGATGTCAGCCTGATCTAGGTCAACCAGGCCCTCCTCTGCCTTAGGAAACCATTTCCTATCTTTGAGCCTCAGTTTCCTCATCTGGGGCTATGCTACTTGGTCTCCTCTGATTCCTATTACCCTGCTGTAACAGTCTTTTCATTGATCTCTCTACTTCTTCCCCCTCTAATCCATGCTGATGCCATGTCCAGATTCTTCTGAAAATAAACGCAGGAGCTAAAAGTAGAGAGTTAACACTCTATACTTTGGCCACTTCTTTTCTCTTTGTTTTCCTCCTTTTATTCCTTTATTTCTTTCTTAACCACTTCTTCTCATTTATCTCTGATTTTATTCTTTCTCCTCTCAGAATATCTTAGGTCTGCCAGTGGCTCCGAAGATTATATTCAGGGCTACTGAATTTACAAACTCTTCCAGATGTATGTAGTCAGCCCCTGCCGCGCCTACTGCTCCCCTTCTGCTTGCTAAATACTGAGCATTCTTACTGTGCTTTGTTCATAAAAAGTGCTTTGCCCTCATTGCTAATGTTATATTTTATTTTTAATACCCTAATCTCCACTTTCTTTTAGTGAACAAGCTTGTAAATGTCCAGCTCCTGTTGTCAGAAATAGAAAGCATCAGTCACCAGTAACAGGTACAGTGACAAAATTTTTCATTTCCTTTTTTAAGCCAAAATACTTAATTGGGTATTACAGCTAATAATAATACTCATGTATCTCTTCTCCCTTCCTTCAATGATGGCCTAACACCACTGTTCTCATCACTGTCTGGTAAAAGCATTCTCTTTCTAAAACTTCATCTCTATTTGAGCAGTGGGGGTCTGTTTTAGGAGAAACCCATTAAAATGTAGAGGATGGAGCACTTCAGTACACTCATCCTGGGGGAGGAAAAGCCCTTTACAGATGCTAAGCCCTTTTTGTTATCGTGAATGTAGATAAATCTTGTATTTTATAATATTGCTTTTCAGATCCACTTGCATTGTGTTCAGACATAATCAGCAAAGAAGCTTCCAATTTTCAAGGAAGTGACAGTTATCCTAAAACATTGAATTTCAGGTGTTCAGGTAATTTTTTTTTTTTTAACAATTAGAGCTACTTCATAATTAACACAGTTCTAGATTGTCAGATAGTTATTTAGTTTTTTCTTTGCAGAGCTACTAAATTTCACTTTTCTTCTTCAACATAAAAAATAAATCTCCTAGTCCCAAATTTAAAACTTTTTTTTTTATAGGCTATTAGCCCCTAATTCTATTCTTAGGTCTAAACTTAGTTCTCTTACCAATCCAAACTGATGCCCTCTTTCTCTCTGAACATCTCTGGTCACCTAGAAAACAATAAAAAAATCCAGTGTAATATGGTAGGAGCATGAATTTCTCAACAACTCTCCTTTCCTCTGATATAAACCCATGGAAGGCTGCTCATTGGCTTTTCTGAGCTAATGAATGAAAAAACAGAGCTCATTTTAGTTCACTTTTTGGAACAACTGTCTTCTTCCTGATGTGTACATTGTAACTTTATTAGATAACAATTTTTCTTTCATATTTTTGAGGTCTTAATGTAAAGCAGTGTGTTTTGGATTGTTCTGTAAACACAAATATAAAACTTTTTTTCGCTATTTCTAGCAAATAGTATAACAATGTATAGTAAACATTTTAAAATTATTTCTTCTTTCTCCATGGCATTTCAACACACTTCCCATAGTTTTTAGTCTGTGACCTCTCTCATAAAACTCTAGCTCTTCCCCCAAACCCATATTCTCTCAGTAGATGTCCTTGCCTCTTGTTTGTAGAGAAGATCAGTACCATCCAGCATGAGTTCTCTGCCTGCCTGCATCCTACCATAATGTCTCATTGTCAGTGTATCCACGTTTTCATCCCTCCCATCAATCTTAAGAAGAATTTCCTTTTTTTCTTCTCTAAACATCCGTTTACCTGTGTTCTAGACCCCATCCTTTCCCTGATTTTCTAGGAGCTCAGTCACAATTAGTGAAGCAGTGTAATGAGGTGGAGTGAGCATTACCTTGGAGTCAGTAGACTAGAATTCTAATCCTACCTTTTCCTCTATCTGACTGTGACTCTGGAATGTATTTCAGCCTGTTTCCTTATCTTTAAAGTGAAGGAATTGGATTCAGTAATCACTGAAGTCCTTTTCAGCTCTATTCTATAGTTCAGATATTTGTCCTTCTAGCGTCTTCACTCTCTTCTTATAGAATGTAAATTCCTTGAGGACAGAGACTTAAATTTTCTTTTTGTATCCTTGTTACCTCGTTACATCATCTAGTTTATAGTCAGTATTTCATGGTGGAGTGGGATTGGACCAGATTCAGATTTTATCCCTTCCACTTTCAAATATGCACAGGTCTGTGCTATCTTTAGGGTATGTATGTAGGAAGGAAGAAAGAGAAATTTATTTGCTCCTACTACCCCTTATTGCTTCCATTCAATCTCATGTTTTCCTTTCACCATAAAATTCCTCAAATTTATGAGCTCTGCCTGCTGTCTTCTTTCCCTAGTTACTCAGTCCCTAACTAACCCTCCAAAATCTGTCTTCCTTCCCTGCTGTTGTCTTAAAGGCTTCCCTTGATATTCTTGCCAGAACCAGTGTCCTTTTCCTAGTCCTTATCTTCCTTGACTTCTCTTTAAAGGTATCGCTATTTAATCATCCCCTCCTGCTTGCAATTTACAGATTCAGAATCACAGAATTGGAAGGGATCTCAACATCCATCTCATGCAGTCCTTATGTGGAACTCTCTCCTTCCTTGGCTTTGGTGACATAATGACTATTCCATTGGTCTCTTTTATTATAGTCCTTTATCATCTCTCTAAGTAGTCACTGGTTGAGCTCATTCACTTTCGCCCTTTCAACTCAAGAGCCAGCCTGCAGTCAGTGCTCTCACATCTGTGACCTTGCTCATTTCACTCTAGGCCTTTATTTCCTTTTTTCTATAAAAGCAATTTTTATCATAAAATTGACAGTGCTCAACAAGTACAAATCTTCAAAAACACAAAACAACAATAATAAGAGCAAAACCAAGGTGTACATAAAATGTTTCTATCACTTACATTTTGTTTAGCAAATTATATATACTTAAAAAAAGTAACAATTGCCTTTTTGTTTACATGCCACCTTTACCTTCTTTTTGAATATATTTTCCAGATTTTGTTCTGTCTTTTACTTAGTTGAAATCAGTATGTAATATTCTTTTTATTCTGCTTTTAACTCAGCATTACTTTACATGTTTTCCATATTTCTTTATATTCTTCATATTTTTTATTTCTTGTGGTGCAACATTATTTCATTCTATTCATGCAGGAAAGAAGGAAGGAAACAAACATTTATTAAGCCCCTACTATATGCTAGGTATAGTGCTAAGTGCTTTACAAATAGTGTCTTATTTGATATATCACAATTTTTAAAAATGTTCCCCCAGTTGTTGTACTTCGAATATGTCTCATTTCCAGGTTTGTTTGGTTTTTTTTTTTTTGCTGGTACCAATAATGCTACTAAAAATATTTCCATACAAATAGTTCTTTTTTCCCCCTCTTATCAATAGCATCTCTAGTGTAGATCTCCAATGCAGTTACTAAATCAAATGGTATGAACAGCTTTGTAAATCTCACCATATAATTCCAAGTAATTTGCAAAAAGATTGTATCAATTCACAACTCCAGCAACATGTGCCTATTTTCCTACAGCATTACCAACACTGAATTTGAACTTGGGACAGTTTAATCCAGATCCATTGCTCTTCTTTCACTGGACCATTGCCACAAAAGAGCATTTTACTATTTTTAAGATTCTTTACTATCTTAATAGGTATAAAGTAGTATCTTGGTTTGTTTTGCATTTCAGTAATTATTATTAAATAGCTTGAATACCTTCTCAAGTAGTTATTGATAATTTTTTTTTTAAAACTGCTTGTAAACTTAGGCAAGTTATTTTCCTTTTTCAATCTTCAGCTTCTTTATCTGTAAAATGAGGGAGCGATCATCTTTGCAGTCTCTTTTAGCTCTGATTCTTGTCATCTTATTGTAACTATTGGTTTTCCCATTTGTTCCCCAACTAATCAACACCATATAACCAATTCTTAACTGCTTTTCTAAAATGTCACTTTCATCATGCCACTTGTTTCATAATTATATAATAATTGTCCATTGCCTCCTGTATCAGAATTAAACTCCTCTGACTTTCAGGACCCCTCTCTTATTTTTTCCTATCCCCAACCCCACTCTAATCATTTCCTACTACTCTCAACATCCCTCCCATTCCAATAAGGCATACCTAAAATATATTCTGTTAATTCCTACCTCTCTGCTACTCCAATAATTTAGCGTTCATTTGGATTCTGGCTGTTTGGTGTGTGTTTGCTTTATCTTCCCAACTAGATTCTAGATGGCTAAAATTGTTTTATATTTATTATGCATCTTCCCACAGCATTAGGCATGTTGTAAGTATTCGGCAAATGTTGGCTAATTATCTACAAACATAATGTGATCATATTCACCTTTTAATAAACATAACTAAGTATCTTATTGGAGTATAGTTACCATCCTAAAGATAATATTTTGCATTCATAGACTTGTAATTAGCTGTTTTATAACATCTGTCTATCATCTTAATGTGCTTTTTTTTTAGGTTGCATAGAAGTAGGAAAATCCCTGAATAGCAGAAATTTTAGCAGGCTCTTGCACTCTTGCCCATTCCAATGTGATCTCCACAAAGTCATTCTGGAAACTGAAGATAGATATAAAAGTGACTTAAGGAAATCACTTATCTTTAACAAAGGTAATTCAGCAGCTTTTAACTGTGTTTATGATAAAATTTCTGGACTGGATTTAGCTTCTAAACTATGAAATACATTAAAGCTAAGGGGGAAAAGGTTATGGAAAAGAAAACGTGTTTCTGAGCAGTCAGAGATTCTTAAAAAGTCCTGGGGAATAATTTTAGTCTCTTTGGATAGTTTTTAAAATTCTTAACAGCTCACCTAAACTTTTCAATGTAAAATATAGGTCTACATTAAATATGTATTTTACATATTTTACTATATAGATTTGACAAGTGATTGCTTGTATGAATACTCTAAAGATTCTCTAAATAATTTTTATATTTTACAGAAATACTATTGACTCCACATAAGAAAAAAAGATTTGGTAGTGAATCTTCTACACATGAAGAAAGAAATAATTTTCAAAACAATTTCCAAAGTGAGTTCTGAATTTTTAAAAATAAAATAAAGTTTTCCTGTTTCAGGTATTTCCCTTGGGAAAGAAGAGAGCAGATGACTGATATGGAGATGTTCTTATGGGCTTTAATTCCCAATTTCCTTGTCTATAAAATGTGGAAAGTATACTAGGTAATCTGTAAGATTCCATCTGGCTATGAACCTATGAATGATGAATAATAATGGCTTACATTTACATAATCAACAATTGAAGCCAGGTTTTCTGACTGTAAATCCAATGTTCTAACATTCAACAACCTTGTTCTCTTTCTTTAAGCATCTTCATTCTCACTTAATCTATAGACTTCTTCTTTTCCACTTTAAAATAAACACTACCCATCATGACAATTAGAAAAATACTCTGCAGTGAAGCATTTATCGGTTCACTGTTTTTCAGATTCAGTAATTATGTAATGATCACCATGGTAAGCAAAAAATGTTAATAGTAATAGCTGACATTCATGTAATGTTCTGTAGCTTTCAATGTACATTGTACTTTCCTCATAATAATCCTCTGATATAGGTAGTGCAAATATTATCACCATATTGCAGGAAATTGAGGCTCAGAGAAATTGTACTTGCTATCAGTAATACAGCTAGAAAGGGACAAGTTGGGACTAGAATCCATGTCTTCTGGCACCAGTTCTGGGGATCTTTCTTCTGTAGCATTTACTGCTTGTATATACTCTTTTCCCGCAGCCCTTATATTACTGAATTACTTTAAAACTTAGTGTGTTTACATCTGAATAAAATAATGAACTCTTGCTGTATATTACATCATCAATAGTCCTAAATTTTAACTCTGGTGAAAAACTTTACACGTCCATTTCCCTCTTTTTCCCACTCCACTTGGGGCTGCTTCTTAATATTAATAGCTAGTATTTGAGAAGATTACTTATTGAATGTGTTGAGAAAAAAAGATAACTGTGTTAAAAATCAAAATTACCATATTTTACGTTGTTTTAAAAATGTTCTTTTTTATTGTGAACCTGATATTGACAAATGTGAACATTTCCCTATTCAAAGAAGAAAGAAAAAAGCATTGTGTCAGTGTATGTGACTCTCCCTGTCCTTTAACAGTCCTCCCACCCCCCAAATAATATACTTCCCTTGTAACAAATATAGTCCAGCAAAACTAATTCCCATATTGCCCAAGTCTGAAAATTTAGATCTCGTTCTATACCTCTGATTCATCACACCTCTTCTAAGAGGTGGGAACCATGGTTTCATATAAATCAGTCTTCTGGAATAGTGATTGGTCATTTCATTTATCATTGTTCTTAAATAATTCTCATGTCTTTTCCTTTACAATATAGTAGTCATTTTACAATTTTTTCTCCTGGTTCTGCTCACTTCTTTTTGCATCAAGATCAAGATTCCTTTGTCTATAGTTGTGAAAGCTCCCTGCTCCTCTAATTTGTTTATGATATGAACTTTTATAGTTAGGTCATGTATCCATTTGGAATTTATTATGGCATATGGTGTATGATGTTCATCTTAACTATTTTCTGTAAGACTGCTTTCCAGTGTCCCCAGTAGTTTTCAAATCAGGAATCCTTATTTTAGGAGTTGTGTCCCCTGGGTTCATCAAATACTGTGTTGCTATGTTTGATTCCCTTCTGGGTCTTGTATATTCAGTTTGTCTAAGGAAGGTATAGCTAGGTCCTGATTAGTGCAATTAATGAATCCTATGAAGTGGTCATTGGACTGGAACTAATTATCCATATTTTACATAATTATAACTTCAAATAGTTGGAATTCAAACACATGTAAACACTTCACGGGATTCATTATTTGCACTAATTGGGACCTAGCTGTATAAGTGGGTATAGGTTTTTAGTTATGGTTCTGGATTGTATTTGGGATGAACTCACCCATAATATAGAGAAAGATGGCAGAACAGATTAGAAAGCAGATTCCAGCAATACGTTGTTTACAATTGAACTATAAGGATTTATATAGAATTATGTCAGGATCTGGAGCAGAATTTATTATGATTTAAGTGAACTTTTAAAAAGCAGGAATGGCAAAGTAAAGGAACATAAAAATAGATATGATTAAAAGAAACAAACAGGAAAACAACATGATGCTTAAGGACATATGAAATGAGGCAGCTAGGTGGCTCAAGTCAATAGAGCCCTGATTGATTATATATTTCACAGCCAAAGGTGGAGAAGCTCTATACAGTAAGTTATAACAAGACCTGGAGCTGACTATGCTCAGATTATGAGCTTCTTATTGCAAAATTTAGACTTAAATTGAAGAAAGTAGGGAAAACCATCAGACTGTATAGGTATGATTTAAATAACATCCCTTATGAATATGAAGTGGAGGTGAAGAAGAGAAGAATGGATTTAAGGACTTAGATGTGGTAGACAGAGTACTTGAAGAACTATGAACGGAGGTTCACAATATTGTGAACAATAATAGGAGGCAGCAATAAAAAAAAAACATCTGAAAGAAAAAGAAGAGCAAAAAGAGAAAATGGTTGTTTGATGAAGGTTTACAAATAGCTGAAGAAAGAGAAGGGGAAAGGAGAAAGGGAAAGATATACTCAAATAATGCAGAAATCCAGAGGATAGCAAGGAGAGACAAGAAGGTTTTCTTAAATGAGCAACGCAAAGAAATAGAAGAAAACAATGGAATGGGAAAGGCAAGAGACTCTTCAAGGAAATTAGAGATAACTAGGGAATGTTTCATGCAAAAATGGGTGTGATAAAAGACAAAAATTGTAGGGACTTAACAGAAGTAGAAGAGATTAAGAAGTGACAAGAATATGCAGAACTATATAAGAAAAATCTTAACATCCTGATAACCACAGTGGTGTGGTCACTGGTCTAGAGCCCTGAATCCATCACCTCTCTATCAGGAGGCATATAGCATGCTTCATCATCAGCTCTCTGGAATCTTGGTTCATCACTGCATCATAGTTATTTGTCTTTATAATGTTGTTGTTGTATAAATTGTTCTCCTGGTTCTGCTTACCTCACTCTGCATCACTCCAAACAGGTCTTCCCAAAGTTCCTCTGAAACCATCCCTTTCAGCATTTCTTATGGCACCATAGTATTACATTACAGTCATATTTGTTCAATCATTCCCCAATCAATAGGCACCCACTTAGTTTATAATTCTTTGCTACCATAGAAAGAGCTGCTGTAAATGTTCTCGTACATATGGGTCCTTTTCAATTTTGTCTTTTTGGCATATAGGCCTGGTAGCAATATTGCTGGGTTAAAGGCTATGAACAGTTCAGTTATCTTTGGGGTATAGTTCCAGATTGTTTTACAGAATAATGAGGCCAATTCACAGCTCCACCCACAGTGCATTAATGTGCCTCTTGCCCCCAAACCCCCAAGACATCCAGTTTGAGACGCACAAAAGTGTTGGTGAGTAGAGACTAAAATTCATTTGAGAGATTCAGACTAAATATATAGATCAGGAAATCACTTGTATAGAGATTATTGAATCTTGAGCTTGTTTCAAGTCTCCCTGCACAGTGGCCATCCCCTACACTTAACTTTTTCTGATGTTCCCAATTTTTAGTCCTTTCTCAATTTTTAAAAAAATTTAGATTCTACATGTTTTATCCCTCCAATAGAATGCAGTCTCCTTGAGGGTGGGGGTTCTTTGGTTTTTGTCTTTGTGTCCCCAGGGATTAGTTCAGTGCTTTGCGCATTGTGGACATTTAATAAATGTTTGTTGAATTGAATGTCTTTTACTCCACTTCTTGCAAGCAAATCATCATTGGCAATGTGCTGCAGCCTCCTTCCAAACCCTCTTTGTCTCTCTGTTGCTCTTTGGGTCACCTGCAATTTTGACTTTATTATGATCTGAAAAGCATAATATTCCATGACTCATTCCGTGTATATTGTTACTGGTAGAATATTGCTATTAAAAAGAGGAATTTTTGTATCATTGAAAGTACTACACAGTTTCTTAAATACAATCGTGCTCTCTTTTTCCTTTTAATTTTTGACCCAACTCATTGTTCAAGATGTAAATGCCAGTGGCCTATCCAACTGCATATCACGATCTGAGCAATATGCATTCTTCATCTGCATAATTTTTCTTATGAAGATTTTCAGGCTGATCTCTTTTGAGTTTCACTTCATTTCATTGAGGGGATCTGGTAGTGTTCAGAGATTTGATGAAATCTGTGCAATGTCATCTGCAAAATGGAGTGTTTGGAGCAGCTCCCCCTCTTTTGGGAATTACTCTTCCATTTGTACTCTGCACAGGACATACTTCGTGACATTGGTGAATCTTTGGTGAGCACATATGCCCTTGTTTATGACTTGATTTATACACAAAGTAATCTTTATGATTACTTTTATCAAGGAATCATTTGTTAAGGGCATGAGTAGTTGAATCAAGGCACTCTGAGGTAGCATGTGCCAGGCAAGTCAGACCACCATCACCTTGACTTCTATCACCCCTCAGACCCTGATACAGACAGCCCAGGACCCTGAGCCCAAGAGCTGAATGGCAGTGCTTCTAGCCTAGCACTCCTAGCCATTATCCTCTCATACCCTGGTGTCACAGACTTCACCTGCAGACCTCCTAAATGTCTTAGGCTAGAAAAATGTTTCACCCTGACTTTTTGTTGGTCCTGCTACTCCAAAATTCAATTTGAAGTGTTATTTTAAAGTTGTTTGGAGGGATATGTTGAGACAGTTTAGCTGAGTGGTTGCCTATCCTCTGCCATCTTGCAGTTATTTTATTGGTCATTATCTTTTGGCTTTTACTTACCATGAAGACTGCAGAGGAGATGACCTAGGGTCCCAGGCTTCTTGTTGCCTTTGTGGTCACGATGAAACCATGTAGAACTAGCTCTTTTACCTACATTTGGGAGAACTTGTGAGCCATCCTTCCATGTGCCTAGAACTTTATATCTTTTAGTTATGTTTATGGTGAAAATGTAGTGTATCAACTCTTCTATCATTGGATAAAGATCTCA